GCAAGTTTTAGTTTTTGCGTGTTTTTTGTCGTATATGAGTTCTTTCCAGTCGCCAATTTTTCGACTCTGCCCTGGTCTCTCGGCAGAGGACGCGGACATTGTTTACCCGGGCGTCGTCCGAGCTGGTATGGTTTCGTGTTGAAGTCGTTCATGGTTGGTTTCTGTCGTCTTGTTCTTTTTACAGACGGCGGTATCTGCACCCCTTCCGTCAAACGCTCCTCCTTTACCCGGACTTGCGACCGGCACAGAAGTCGCTGGATTGCGGTCTCTATGGTGGAGTTACACCTAGTATATGTGGCAGAAATATCAGACCTAACCAACAACCTATAAGATGGAAATCGATAAAAATACTATTTTTCCTTACTTTTGGGCCACCCTGTATTTATATGGCTTATTATACAATAGCTCATGTATTACAAGCACGAGATTCATTTAATGGAAAACAATTAGGTTAAAAAAAGGATTTTTTTTTTCTAATTAAATATTAGTTTTTGTTTTGTTCAGGTTCAGCAAATATTCATCCATCACAATTAGCAAATGAAGTATGGGATTATATATTTTTTCCAGAAAAATCTTATCCATTATCATCAACTGATATATCTCATTCAACACTTGATCATCTTCGAAATGAATTTCAATATTGGTATCCAATTAATTTACATTCAAGTGAAAAAGATTTAATATCAAATCATCTTATTTATTCATTATGTAATCATATAGTCATATGGCCAAATCATTCAGAATATTGGCCACGTTCATTTCGTATTAATGGAAATTTATTATTAAATTCAAATAAAATATATAAAATCAACAGGAAATTTTATAACATTATTAGAAGCTATTGAGAAATTTTCAGCTGATGGTTTGTTCTTCCTTTCTTTTTCTTTTCATTAAAAAAATATAAATATTTTTCTTTTTTTCTTTTTTAGGTATACGTTTAGTATTAGCTACCCATGTTGTGAATACCGGATCATTTTTTCCGGTAAACCGCGGTATTTGTCTTTCCTCCGGTAAATTACACTAATATGGGGGCCGGTAAGCGGACCGGTAAGCCCGCGGTAAACCGGTGGTTGTTTCCTCGTGTCTGCNAAAAGGATGTCTAGAATAGCTTAATTCATGATTTGGAACACTTTTTTTGTCAAAGATTATAGACGAACCGGTTAACCGGTTTTTTTTAGCGGTAACCGCGGTATTAATCAAAACCGGCGGTTTACCGCGGTAAATTTCCACTGATGGGAGCTGGTAACCGGTCCTGTAAAACCGCGGTTAACCGCCGATTTTCTTGCGCTTTTTATTACATGGGTAATGCTGGCGATGATTCAATTGAAAATGCTAATTTTGACGAAAACAAAGCTAAAGAACTACTTTTAGATTTTTATACATTTATTGAATGGGTTCAAGATGTACTTATAAATCCAGTTGATATTAAACAAAAATTTAATCTATTAGATCCATTAGAAAAGAGTTCAGATGTTGTTTCATCAGGTATGAATTGTATTAAAAATATATTATATCAACTTTCATCAAGTTTAGATTATACAAATGAAGAATTTATTGATCAACAAAAATTATATTATCGAACAGATAAAAATTATATTTATGGCGATTGTGCTTTTGAATCTGAAATCAATTATGCTATTCGATTAACTCAGTAAAGTTATGAAAAAATGTTATGTAAAGATATTCTTACAGATGAACTTTTTGGATTAATAGCGGCACGAAATACATATTGTGGATTATCTTTTGAATCGCAAAAAAAAATTCATTTCGATTTAATTAAACGTTATATCGAAGTACAAGTGATTTTATTAGCACCTATATGTCCACACATATGTGAATATGTTTATCAATTGCTTCATCCAACGACATCAATTATGAATGCTAACTGGCCACCTCTTGGTAAGAATAAATTTTAAAGAAAAAAACCGTTTCATTCTTTATTTATTTGTTTTTGATAACAAGAAAAAAAATACAAATAATCTTACAAATATTTTTTTTATATTTTAGAACAAGTAACCCATGTCGCCACTTTTTTAACAACTGCGTCGCAGTTACGCGTAGAGCCAATTCTGCGTCGCAGTTGCGCTCAACTGCGAAATTTTGATCGTAACTGCGGCGCATTGACCGCAGTAAAAAATCCATATGTTCGACTGCGACGCAGTTACGCGTAGATGCGAAAAAAATATCGCAGCTGCGCGCAGTTACGCATAGCTGCGTCGCAGTTTGATCGCAGTCGAACATGTGGAAACTATTAGAAATTATGATCTGCCCGATGGTGGTTATAATATAACATATTCAAGTATTTCAACTAGTGCATTATCTACATGTCATTTTTATTTAATAACCGGTATATTAAATGACAAGAACTTTGGATATTTATTACATAGTTCAAAAGATTTCAATCATCATCACATACTCCAAAAACAACAGTAATTTCAACAATAAAATATATAGTACATGATATTAATACATTACATCTATATCGACCAATAGAACATCCGAATAAAATTGAAATTACTAATATGAAAGAATTAAAAATGTTGATTGGAGGTGATGTAGAATTACATGATGATCTTATACAAAAAGGTTTTTTATTATTAAACAATTATAAATTTTATGTTGAAATACAAAAATTACTTCAAAAGGATAATGATGCTGATAATCATAATAATGATGAAAAACTATTAATAAATAAATTATATAATAATGTTAAAGTTTTAAGTTCAATAACATTTTTACTTGATGATAAAAAAGAAGAAAAAGGTAATTTAAAGCAATTAATCTATTATTTTAACACATTCGACCCGATTTAAAATTTCTGTTCTGACTGTGATAATTTTTTTTGTCTTGAGTGTTTTAATGATAAGCATTATGCTATGAAATAAAGGACTCAAATAAAGTACTGATGGTAGAAGATGGGGTGTGGGTGTGGGGTGTGAGTCTGTGTGTGGGTGTGGGTGTGGGTGTGGGTGTGGGTGTGGGTGTGGGGGTGGGTGTGGGTGTGG